TTACTAAGCAAACCAAAAATGTCCCTCTTGTTTTTGCAGACGTTCATCAATTCTTTGAATGAGAGCCCGGCCAAAAATTATGTCTGCACTATTTAGCATTTCTACAAATAAAACAAATGACAACTACACAATATGCTTACAAAATCTTTAACAAATTTGAATAGTATTTCAATAAAGCGGAAAGATGTACATTTTCCTAAGCCTGACATCAATTTTAGCCACTACTGAATATGTGTCACTCACAGGAACTCATCGGAGGAGAGCTCAGCATTACATTTCTCCATTTTCCGTCATACAGCACAGAAATCCCTCTCCGACTCCTGCAGCTCTGACGAAGACTGGGAAATAGATCCAGGCCACTTTAAGCAGCAGGTAGGCCTTCTGAAAATATCACAGCAGAATGGATATATTTGAAACCCAAGCTGTGATGAAAAAAAGCTGGAAGAAAAGGGTTAGGGGGTCTTTATGGACCCCGAGAGGCAACCTGCCAAACGCAGAATGACAAAATGTGCCATCCGAGGCTCTTTCGCAGTCACTGTATGGAAGGCTTGTTACTCAGAGATCACTTAAAACCTTATGGTCATTTCAGCTGGTTAGTGCATCATATGAGCAACAGGCCCAGCGTCCCAGAGGCCCAAATGTCTGCACGCAGACACAGCCGGGGTGTTGGGACTGCAGTTAAGAGGTGACAGACGTGATATATGAGAAGAGGCTGTTGAGCGGGAATAAGAGGAACGATACGTTAATGGAGATCTCGACTAGAAGATCTACAGTGGAAGTTATTAGATCTCTCTTCAATCGTTCTTTCAGGACAGTGAAAACTGTTGCTCAAACTGCTGTTTTCACTCAGTCATCATTACTAAAAAATGTACACAATTAAATTAATAGTACTGAATAATAGCCACTCCTTTGTTTTCCAACACTAGTTTAACTTCAACTAAATTCACTTGGAAAGAAACAATCATGGCTGACTGAACATGAGCACTTCCACTTGAAAAAGGCACTAGTTACAGAAAACTTATAAATCACTTAAAACTATTAGACCGAGTGTCCACCAAGCTTTTTAAACCATCTGAAAACGGTAGGCGCTCTTCTGAAAACGGTTTGAGTTATCAGTTGAGATGATTTGGTTGGTATGATACGCAATATCTGCGTAAGTGTTAATAGTATCTGATTTTGCAGGTAGTTTGTATCTAAATATAAACATTTCGAAATGTATTTTTGCTCTGGGGTCTTGTTTGAAATGTCTTTGTTCCATAGTTGGGCTTGTTGTCTGTTGCCGTTGTACAAGCAGGATGGGATGGTTGGTCGTTGTGGTATTTGTCCCGCCCCTCTGCCACTGTGATTGGACGGCTGGGTGTAAAAGTGACAGTGATGAGAAAATGTCAAGCGCTCATCGTGAAATAGACACTCAGTGCCTCATCATGCCGCTGGCCTTTTTAAATACGTAATGCTCACATTGCAAACACATTTAAAAGTACACTCGCATTAAGAAAGCACACAACCTTAAAAAGGTTTTGTATTGAATAAAATAAAATAAAAATAATACCAAAATAACACTGTTCTGAAAATCTAGCAAAAAGTAATATGTGTGTGCACAATGAATTCAACTACTCAGGACATGCTGTAAAGTGCACCGTTATTAGGAGTGGGATTTTGGAATTGGCTTTATGCACAGCTGCACTACTTCATGACTTCCATTTTTGGACAAACAGATTAATCCAGATGTGTCTGATTATTGTTGTTGTGACTACTGAGGTCAGACAGACCTGAATTAAACAGTTTGTCCAATAATGGCAGACAGGAAACATGAAGCTGGCCGAAGTTCAGGAAGTAGTTCAGCTGTGCATAAAGCCAATTATAAAAAGATGTGTCGATAGAGATATAGAAAATAAGGAAACAGGAAAAATGCCAAGAACCAACGCAACCGCCAAAATCCCCTACCACTCGTCATGTTTGCGGCTGACAAAATCTCTGATTTGCATTGAAAAGGTTCTCAAAATGAGAAATACACCTCATCTCCGATCAATCAATGAATTTCTATTCATTTTGTTGGTGTTGTTTTTATGAAAATGACTCACAAGAAACATTTCAAAGCTAAACATAACTACAAACAATACATAAATAAAAATGGACTATATATTATCCATACAAAAAGATTTGAATAATACTTTTCCAGGTCTGGAAAGCACAGTTTAATGATAAAAAATAAATAAATAAATATATAAAAATGTCAAATTTCCCTGAGCTATTCATGTGTGTGTGTTTTGTTTGCAGGTTATATAGTTTCAAGCCTTTGAAGCAGGTTTGCAGATCCTCAGGCTGACCATTTTGGTGGAATATGGGTAACTGAAAGAGAGCAGGGGAAATGCCAACAGCAATTTCACATGCCATTATTCTTGTCACCACCAGAAAGTGTGCAGTTTGACATTTCATGCGCCCACCATCTTGAACACAGTGTTAAAAGAAGTATTAAAAACAACCTGTGAGTGCTGCAAACACAATAGCAGCCGTGCTGGCAAGAGCTGATAGGATCAGCGGGAGCCCGGGGCCTCCCTAAAGCATTTACATGATTTACTCTGACTCCGAGTGGCTGTGAACCTGCAGGAAACAGGACTGTTGGAATGAGAAGTGAGGCGAAGGGATCTGCACCACTAGAGGGCTTCCTCCGGGCTTCACCGATGTTGGGAATAAGGGGAAGTGTATTTTAACACACACTTCCGGCCTGCAGACTCTCATCTCTGCAGGGGACACCTGTGATGAGAGCAAACACACCATCATCTAACCAAATCATCTGATTTAATGATTCCATCTTGTATTTCACAGATGTGTGATTTAGTGCTGGTACCTAGAGGCGAACGACGATGTGGAAAAGAATTTAAGAGCGCCTTTAATGAACAAAAATAAATACACCATCCCTCCAGCATTCATTAAGATTCATTCACACATTTTTCTACTCTACAAGTGCCTCAAGAGGAAGGTCACTAGCAAATATGTTCAAATCTTAAAATCACCAAAATTAAATTTGAACGCAACACAATGGTTAAAATTGCACTTCGCAATTACAAAGGTCAGGTTTTATAACAATAGAATAAGGGTATTAAGGCATATAACAGAGCAGGTGACCTGATATCCATTCCATTCAACGTATATTGGAAACAACTGCTGGCATTTAAAGCTTGTTGGCGCAGGGTTTATTTCTGGGTAAGAAGTCGTGGGTGCTGCCACAAAAATGCTGAATTTAAATGTCTGCCCACTGGAGACACAATCATTAATTGTTCATTTAAAAAAAAAAATCAGAATCGGTCAAAGGATAACTTTTAAAAAAAAAAAAAATCAAAACATAAAAAAGAGGTTGCAAAAATATTTTACAAATATTTTATCTATATATAAAATATATATAAAGTATTGGTATTTAAAAGTTACCAATGTTAATTAGTAGTGATAGGAACAAGCTTGGGATAACTTATGATAGAAAACTCAGCTTGGCTACCACCATGTGCAGAAAGAGTTGGGATGGTTGGCACATGGAATATTAAGTAAGAATAATTCATGATTCATAGCTGATCTGAACATTTGGAAAAAGGTAGGGGGAAAACCTTCTTACTGGAGGGATTTACAGTTAAAACCAACATAAAGAATCGAACATTCCCAACGGACGTCGTACTAAACAGTGAAAATCGTCCGACGCGGGTAGAACAAAAATGGCGGAGAGATTAGAAAAGTTGATTCTGTCAGTCCTGTATATGATCTCTCCGATTAGGGTTATAGAGATATTAATAGGAAGGCTGCTGAGGATGTTGACATGTCAGGTCGGCTTAAAAATGTGATATGGTGGTCAATAGTTCAATGTCTGCCTACAATTTAATTGTATTTACATTATTAAGTCATGAAAATAAAAAAAATAACATGAGAACGTTATAAAATCATTATTTATTTTATTAAATGTTAAGAATTCAGGCAGGAATTGTCGGATAGGAACCGTCGTAGCTTTTCGCAAGAGTTAAATTTTTTGAACGCATCTGTATGACCAACGGACACGATTTTCTTCGCACCGCACTTGGTCGGACCCGTTTCGGACCCATTTGCATGCGGTCTGCGAATCTCCATAGGAAATGAATGACTTCCGGTCATTTCGGATTCATATCGGAGAGGATTTCAACTGCCACTTTGAAGGTGCCGTTACGGTTATTTACAACAGTGCAAGTACACCACAGCGGCTTTAGGGGTCGCTGTTTCCCAAAAACATGTGTGGCTTTAAAGCTTTAGTCATTTTAAATTGTGCCAACCAACTCCACAAATGTACTCATGTACATAATTTTATTCAGCCAATTTAGAACATACTTTAATAAAAAAATAAAAAATAAACAAAATGCTTAGTTCTGTTATCATAATGTTTATTCCACCACAGATATTCAACAAAGTATGAAAACTGTGCCCATGAACCTCTGTCTCCCCTACAAGACAGGTATAAACTTTATGTCAGCCTCCAAAACGGGTTAAAGCACTGCTGATCAGACATTCCCACTGTCAGCCTTCACAAGTGGGCTAACCAGCAGCGGACGTCCCAGTGGGACTGGAGTGTTTTCCTTGAGGCGCCCCTAGAGGAAGTGATGACATAGCCTCCCCTGCATTACAAGCCTGTTAAGAGAACATGTTAATGCAAGAGCGCTATCGTGGGGTGGGTTTAAGTCCCACACACCTCTAGAGAGGATAACAAAATGGATAAACAAGCAGTTTACCCTCATGACTGCATAGAGAAGATGTTTTATTTTATTGGTAACACTTTAGGGTCCAACTCTCATTATTTACTAGTTGCCTATTGACGTGCAATTTACTAGGATGCTAGCTGTTTATTAGTACTTATAAAGCACATTTTAGTGCCTTATTCTGCAGGACCATATTATACATCCTTAATCCTACCTGATATCTAAACCTAACAACTATACTAACTAACAGTAAGCAGTGATTAGGAGAGTATATTGATGCAAAAGTCATAGTTAAAGGGATATTTCGCCCAAAAATGAAAATTGTCATTAAGACTTTCGATCATCTTCAGAACACAAATGAGGATCTTTTTGAGCTCTCTCTAATAATTAGTTAATAGTCAGAAATGGACCCTAAACCCTTTATTTTATATTCTTTATTTAGTTATTTTATCCCGTTTGATCATCAAGTGGGCTAAACCCACCCCACAAATGTTCTGTAGCACAAACTGTGCAGGAAGAGTCACGCCAAAGTTTAATACCTGTGGTTAGAGGTTTGTCAAGATCACTAACCCCAAGTATGAGCAACAGTATTAGCGATGCTTGCAAAGCACCACTAATAAGCATTTTCAACATTTCCAGCAAAAAAAAAGCCAAATTAAATCACTAAAGAAACACCCTGAGCCAGCCAGGAAAACGCGATCAAAAACAACGAGAGCCTTTAATAATGATGTGTTAATCAAAGACGGTCCTCTAATGAGAACTTCTTCCAGTAGGCAGAATGTCTTATGAAGGATCGGGAAGTGATATCAAGGGAAAGTCACTCAAATAATCTTCTGTAAAAAGCCTTTAGCTTCTCAAAGCAAGGTCAAATCAAAGGAGGTAGTAGTATTACATCATGTACCAGGATCATAGAGTAACCGGTAGACAGACAGAGACAATGCTTTAGAGAATGATAAAAATCAAAATGTGACTGTGCCTCACAAGGATGCAAGAGTTCGTACAGCTTTTCAAGCACTTTTCCCAAGACTTTCAGGGTGCCTAAATCATGCCCATTGTAACCCATCAAAGTAATCAAGCATTTTAGAGGTACATATTCAAAGTTCAAAAGCATAACTAACCTAGAAAGCAAATCCCCAACTTTCCTAATTCACTCAATGGTTTCCAAAAATGCTCCAAAAATGTTTCCAAAAAGAAAATGTTAACATTCACTGCAATGCACTCTATTCCATGCAAAGGATCTATTTTAACCCTCTGAGACCTAAGGGTATTTTTACAATAAATTTTCCGTCTGGTGTCATTTACTAAAAAAGCTTGTAAAATATCAACCCTTTGGTGCACAGACAATTGACACACCTCTTTTTTTCAGGACAAATTGAACTTTCAGCATATTTGTGTTACATTGATGTCACCTGAATGTAAAATAAGTTATGGGACCATAAAGACAAATGAAAAAATAAATCGGAAATGGAATCACTCAATTATTTATTGAAATCACACACAAATAAATAAAAGCTAAGCAATTTTCCTCTGGAAAATAGTTTGTTCATGTCTTTGGAGTCCTGGAGCACAGGAATAAACATTATAACTTGTACAGAACAAAAAATATTGACATTTTTCCAAAAGAAGTCCAGGCGTTTGGGGCCTCATGAAATTCACTGGTGCCAAGCCTCAAAACAGTTCCTATCAGCAATCACACAGAGGGCCACATCACAGGTTTTGCATTTCTATTTTATTTATTATTTTATTTATTATGTTCTTTTTATTCTTTTATAATACATTTATACTACTATAATACTTTTTTACAGTAAATAAATAAATGGCACTTCAGCTGGGTCTATCCTGGTAATCTAGTTCCTCATCTGTCAAAAAGCTCTGTTCTCCTGAAAATCCTTCATCCTGCAATGCACCAAAATAGACCAGCGCTTTATTTACGTCCATTTCGCTGTGTTTCTCTGTGAATCGCGCGTCTCCGTGAGTCTCTCTATCTCTCTACACTATATCAGCGCTTGGTTCATGCGTAATGACGCACACCAATGTTTACAACGGATCAGCCTGTAATTGGTCAAAAACCATCACGTGAAAACATCACGTGATATCCAGGATGTCCGCTAGCATCGAGCTAGCGGCAAAAATGACCGAATATTTATGAATTATGGGCTTCAAGATTATCAAAGTTTGACATAAAGCGTTTGGATTTATTGCTGAAAACCTCTGAAAGGAAGCACAAGTTCCAGGCTGGATAGAAAACCTTCTGTAAAGGCTAGAAAGACCCGAAAGACACCACCGTGATGGCTAGCTCGTTAGCTTTCTGCTGGAAAAAACGGTAAGAAAATCGATAAATCTGTCATCGAGTTATGTAAACATTTATCGGAGGTGACGTGTGGCATCGTCGACGACGCCGTCGGGCTCAGGGGGTTAAGAATACAACCGAATGCTCCAAAGATGATGTACTTTTGTAGGCCAACCCAGAAGATCGCATCACCCCGGTTCCCTTGATAAAACCCCAATAGGTTTTCCATTGGCTTTTGGATTATCGCAGTAAACACTGGTCAAGAGAATCTCCTGAACTCCAAACTGAATGTCAGAATGGGAAAGAAAGGTGATTTAAGCAATTTTGAGCGTCGCATGGTTGTTGGTTCCAGACGGGACGGTCTGAGTATTTCACAATCTGCTCAGTTACTGGGATTTTCACGCACAACCATTTCTAGGGTTTACAAAGAATGGTGTGAAAAGGGAAAAACATCCAGTATGCGGCAGTCCTGTGGGTGAAAATGCCTTGTTGATGCTAGAGGTCAGAGGAGAATGGGCCGACTGATTCAAGCTGATAGAAGAGCAACTTTGACTGAAATAACAACTCGTTACAACCGAGGTATGCAGCAAAGCATTTGTGAAGCCACAACACGCACAACCTTGAGGCGGATGGGCTACAACAGCAGAAAACCCCACTGGGTACCACTCATCTCCACTACAAATAGGAAAAAGAGGCTACAATTTGCAAGAGCTCACCAAAATTGGACAGTTGAAGACTGGAAAAATGTTGCCAGGTCTGATGAGTCTCGATTTCTGTTGAGACATTCAGATGGTAGAATCAGAATTTGGCGTAAACCAAATGGGAACATGGATCCATCATGCCTTGTTACCACTGTGCAGGCTGGTGGTGGTGGTGTAATGGTATGGGGGATGTTTTCTTGGCACACTTTAGTGCCAATTGGGCATCGTTTAAATGCCACGGCCTACCTGAGCATTGTTTCTGAACATGTCCATCTCTTTATTGCCGCCATGTACCCATCCTCTGATGGCTACTTCCAGCAGGATAAAGCACCATGTCACAAAGCTTGAATCATTTCAAATTGGTTTCTTGAACATGACAATGAGTTCACTGTACTAAAATGGCCCCCACAGTCACCAGAGGTAACTACTTCGTGCCCTGGATGTGCATCCCACAAATCTCCATCAACTGCAAGATGCTATCCTATAAATATGGGCCAACATCTCTAAAGAATGCTTAAAAAAGGGGGTTAAACACAGTATTAGTATGGTGTTCCTAATAATCCTTTAGGTGAGTGTATTTTATGTTTATCTTGAGCGTGTGTTGTTCACCAGACCTTATTTCAGGCATTTAACCAAAAACCCATTCAAAAAACAGACTGACTTCAGGACGATGGAACTGGAAGAGCTAAAATGCTAACTCGGTACTCTATCTGCTGTATTTCTGCTTGATTTCAAACTGAGCTCATCATACACCGTCGAAAAACATCTTACCCATTCCAATCCATTAAACACTCCGCTAGAGCTTTCACAAAGACCAAAGAAAAGGCTAAAAGGATAACGGTGCTCAAGCCTGACCCCTTCAACCATGGATTGGACGTTCTCATCCAAACATTATTGAGACGGCTCATGCTGATCCTGTCCAAAGGCAGTCTTCTGCTCTCTCGACTATATGAACAGACTCAGTTTCTGTCACAGCACAGTCTACATCTTTCACTCCAGCAGTGAGATTGTGGGTTTGTCCCAGGAGGAAGATGAAACAGTCAAGAAAGCAGCTGAGAAGACAAGTGAAACATAATCAAGGCGGTACACATGCTGTTTTGAAATCTCCTTTCACAAAAAGATAAAAGGACAGATTCCACGTACACGTCATAAAACAAATTCTGTCTTCATTAAAAACCATTCATCGCTGTTTTTGCCCCAGGCCCCGACTAAGGCGTCGAAGACCAATTCTGGATGTGTTCTGCATGCAGATCTCACAGTTAAACACAAATCCTGCAGAGAAGAAGTCAACAGGGCTATGCAATATGACCAACATCCTATAATCACGCCAGGATTCAGTTCCCAAACAATATACAGCCAAAAATTCACACAATTTTGTCCATTTATTAGAATATATGTATTATATCTGTCTTCTGTGCATCACCAAAAGCATCAAATGGATTATAGATCATTTTCTCTATACTATCTCTATACTAGTTTTTACACCAGTTATTGCGGAGTAGAGCTTTTAAGCTCAAGATTCCTGAACAAATCAAATCTTTATGAATGAATCAAGATATCCAGTTCACAAAAACAGTGAATGATTTGTGAACAAATTGGCTTGATTTGGATCAGTTCACCAACTTAAATGGACCCTTTTCACAGACTGTGATGATTTTATATTTTCATTTATAAAAATATGCACATTTATAACACTTGTTTATACTTTCATACCATGGCACTGAATTCAAGTAAAATAGTTTAACACTGTTGCATGTGTGTTTCCAATATAACGGATGAAGTAGTGATGGCAAATGTGACATTTTTCTTTATTCTGACCACTGTAATAAAAAATGTCCCCTCTTTTTTGGAAAGTCACAAATCCATTTATCATGGATTTTTTTAGCAATTGACCGAAAGGGAATGCAAAAATAATATGTTTTCGTTCACAACTATATGATTACTTCCACCAGGGTTGCTGCACATTTAAAGTCAAATGTATGGCTTTTTTAAGACCTGAAGCACTTTTTAAGTCTTTAAGAATCTGCAGGAACCCTTCTTCCATTTCTGAGAACCCTGGAAATGTGAAAAGGGTCCATGATAGCAGCTCATTTGAGATGGAGAACTTGTTAACGTCACAAACGTTGTATATGGTGTACATTGTGATACTGGCACTTCTAAGGCTGTTTATAAAACATCACAGGTTGGAGCACATGGCTGCCATGTGCATGTGTGTGTAGTGTGAATGAGAACATCATGATTTCAGTAGGACGGTCCACCTCTGTGTGTGACAAACAGGATGGATGAGTCAGATGCTTCAATCGCTCACTCT